CGCAGGCATGCCGCCGAAGGCTGCCTGACTGCCGCCCTCGCAGGAATCGGCAGGGTGCCCCCCGCAGCTTGCCGCCCCAGGCCCGCACTTGGAATGCTGGTGCCTGGAGCCACCACTGCCCTCCAGATTCTACCTCAGGAGAGGGCAAGGTTGGCCTATTTTCTTAAAAACCTCTGCAATAGAACAATAATAATAATAAAAGATGGTTAGAAACACTCTCCCCACCAGACAGTTATTCATTCAGAAGGTATAACAGGAATTCTTCCCAATATCTACATTTGTTTCTAATACACACATTTATGCTTGTCTAAAATGTGCCTACATGTTGATACACATCCATGTACATAAGCATGCTTTTCTGAGTCAGTACATTTTCTGGGTCATTAACTTTAAGTGCATATTTTTATTTCCTATAAAAGATTGCAGAATGGGACATGAACACAAAAGTTTGTCTTTCTGAAATGCATTTTCAGATTCTTTTCTGGTATGTGACAGCTACAGGTCATAAATAAACTAAAAATAGCTGTCTATTTGTTTAATATGCTTTTCTTTGGATCCATCAGTCAGAATTTGCATTGTTTTCCCCAGGCAGTAACTGTACTCTAGGGTGTTCTTAGATAAGCACCAGAGGATGCTTACCACTAGGGTTCCTAACAGAAATGTTCCCATTGGCAAGCAGGGGGAAAAAAAATAGATTTAATCAAGCATTTGAGTGCTGCTACTTCAGTTTCCAAATAAAGCCTGGAAATAAGTTTTTAGAACTCAGCATAGCCTCTCCCTGACTTGAACCCATACTGTGTTCATACACGCTGAGGAATCTAAGGAAAAATGAGCTCAGTAATTTGATTAGGGCCCAATCTAAATCCTATTGAAAACAATGGAAAAGCTTTGGCTTCAGTGGGAATTGAATCAGGCCCTTAATTTATACAAACCTCTCCCAGTTGCTGCTGTGGAATTTATTTAACAAAAATTGAAAATTAAATTTAATTAATTAATTTATTTGCAATTTGTTGGGTGCATTTTATGTACATATTTATTCAGATATTTCTGCCTATGGCTCTCTGTTTTTTGCAGGGGTTTAAAATCTCTAGAAAGTAGTTATTAGGGCTGACTAGTATAACCTATAGGGACCACCTTTCTGTACTCCAAAATTTAACAGTGGCTTGTGTCAAATAATGTATTATATGTAAGCGCTAAAATAAAATGAGACTTGAATAGGGTCTTCTGTAAAACAAATCACTGACTTGATTAAAATACTGAATTTTCCTACAGACAATCCTTGGGAAATTTATTTAAAAACAAAATGCCCATTCCTGAAGGATGCGGTAGGTGCCCTTAAAATAATGTTTCAGTCATATCCAAATTGATTATCCTGGCAATCACATATTTTTCTTTCTATGTCTTTCACCCAGTGGAGCACTTGGTCTAAACATTTTTAAAAATAACCAGACTGAGCACAATCTGGTCCTTGCTTTCCCCACTTAGTCCAAGGACTCCGCTCTGTTTTAGCACAGAAGTAACTTACCTGCATACTCAGATTCTTTTATAGGTTTGGCAGGCAAAATTTTCAGAGCATGCATTGCCTCCAAGCTGGAAGTTTTTACAGTATGATAGGGATACCGTTCTTCATCAGGTACATCGTGTGAATGTTCTGATTCATCCTCACCCACTTTTGCAAAATGTTTATCCTAGGTAAAAGAAAGAAATTCAGGTAACACAATGAACCCGTAGCTGCAGGGCTCACTTCAGGCTTGGCCAAAGTGAATGCAACTCCATTGACTCAGATGGCTTTACTGACTTCAGTGACCAACTGACTTTGATGGAGTTGGGCTGACTCAGGCCATTTCATGCCTGCAGACTGTGAACTGGGAGTTTTGTTCAGCTGTTGAAGGGATGAAGATGAAAGGTTGCACATGGTACACTGGTACAGCAAAGTTTCTGTTTGCAGTTTAGAATGTAACTAAGGCTGCATACAAACATGAAAGTGACTTTAATTTGAAAGTTAGTGGGACTCAGGCTCCTAAGAGGGAGATTTTCAAATAGCAGTAAGGAGTCTAATTTCCATCAACTTTTGCTGAGAATCATTTGTGCCTTTGAAAATCTCCCCAAGTGCCTAAGTCACTTTGAAAATGGTAATCTGGTTCCTAAATCACTTAGAGACTTTTGAAAATGTCACACAGAGTGTAACTTAACCAGCAAAGCACATTTTAAAATTTTTACATTTCACTGTAATATTTTCAATGTGTCATTTGTGCTATGCTGTTCAGTTACATAAATCATCAAGCTAGGGAATAGAACTAATATTATCGCCAAGGGTATTGCTTAATGGCAGAACATTTCTGGCCTTGGACTCTGTGAATCTGAACATCAGTGATTTATGTAATTAACCAGCTCATCACAAATTGCAAATTTTAAAATAAAAATATGATATTCAAAAGTCACTTTTGGTTAATAACTATTTAAGTATTTGAGTCCTGAGTGCTTGCACTAGCAAATCTTCTGTGTCCAAGCAAACAAGGCTGGGTCGTGAATTCTACTGAATGGTAGAATTGCAATCAATTTTCAAATTTGAATGAAAGTTCACTGCAATGTTTTTATTTGTCCAGCTCTTCTGTTGGCACTACTTGGGTACTAATTGTCCAATTTATAGCACATGGTCTTGCCATTCTTGTTTACACCAACTTCTATTGACTTTAGAGTGATTTTTGAGGTACTCAAGTGACACAGAATCAGGCCATAGATAAGCAATTGGCTGCTGAGTAGTCTGCTCCTGTCAGCTTCAGAAGTTCCAAGCCTATCTGGAAATAGCCATTTTCCATGTTTATTTTAATACAAAATTACACACTAGAGAACAGATGCATCTTATACTTTTGTAGATTTGATACTGAATGATTATTCTAAATACAATGATACTGTAGTTCAAACAGAACATAGCTATATGCAGAAAATGAACCCTATTCCTGGTATTTTCAAAAACAAGCATTGGCCTAATCCTGCTCCCACTGAAGTCAATTTAAAGCTCTCATTGATTCCACTAGGAGCAGAGTTATGCCAACACTAAGCACTTTTCAAAATCCCACTCTATATTCCATGTGCTCAGACAGAAAGGATGGTCTTCCCACAACAGCACTACAGCAGGCGACAATCTTAAATTTCAAGTCGAAGTGAAAGTAAAGCAAAATTTTCGAAAGGAATGGCAAAAAATACTTACAAAATTAGATGTTTTTCCAGGAATATTTCTGCTCTTGCCTTCTAAATAAAGTGGTCAGAAAGATTACAGCAAGTATTATATATTCTATATAGAAGAGTGATACATTATTTAGCATTTTATTAAAGGGAACAGAACTTAGTTAACTTTATAATATACTGAAAATATTCACATAGCTCACATAGTGAAAAATGCTGGCTGCCCCTGAGTAGATACATTAGTAAGGAAAGAGTCTTATGGAACCTCAGACCCACCCTTATTTCATCTGCACAGAGGCTATCAAAGCCAAGTTTTTCTCAAATGGGTGCCTAAAGCTAGGTGCTTAAATAATAAATAAAAATATTGTAAATAGTTTTATGGTCCCCATCACCACAGCATCTGAGCACCTCACAGTTAGAGCTTAGAAGAAAACAGTTTTCCTGTCCCATGGATATTTTTGGGAGCTCAAAATTTCTTCCTGTCTCAAATCAGGACAAAAAGTTAAAATCTCAACTATTTGTGAACTGAAAAACCCCCCAATTTGTTTGGTTCTGGGCAATCAAAATATTTCATTTTTATAATTTTGAAGTGTTTCATTTTGATTGCAACTTTTTTTTTCTTTTTTAACCTCTTTATACTCTGGATTAAATTCTAAAGTAAACATAATTTCAAATCAGAAAAATTGAATTTTTCTTTTTGAAAATGTCAAGATAAAATGTTTTGATACTTTTAGAACTTATCTCATCATTTTTTTTTTCAAGCTGGGAATTTCATTAAAAAGGACTCCATTTCACAACCGTTTCAGTTTCAACAAATCAGTATTGTTTGGTTGAAAAAAAAATAATTGAAAAATTCCCAACCAGCTCTCCTCACAGTCTTTAGTGTATTACACTCTTGTGAGGTAAGGAAGAAGCATAATTCCCATTACCTGGGAGACTGGGTCACCCGAGAGAGACTGACTTGCCCAAGGTCACACAGGAAGTCTGGGGAAAAGCAGAGAACTGCCTCTAGGACTCCTGAGTCCTAGGCTTAACGACTGGGAGTAGCCTTCCTCTCCTATGTGACCAGAGTTTCAAATTTTCAGCAGCCAGCCCACCCACCTGGAAAGGGGCAATATAATCAAAGAAGTCAATATAGTTTTGATTTTTGCACATAGCTTGTTTACCTATGCATGCTCCCATTTGATATATATTGTGTTGTGTAGATCCTTTGGTCATTCTAACTGACCCTGACCAAAAAACAAAACAAAAGAAACACACTCTTTTATGCATCATTGTTCTTCTGTAAGTTAAATGCAATACATGATCCCAGCAACAAAATATTGCACAATTTTGCATGGCCCAGCAGATGGCATTAAATGTTCATTTGTACTGTACCTGTACTACTGTTATCTCTGTTCATATAGTCATCCATGGGGGAGGAGAAACAGACCCTGCAAACTATGGGCCTGACTCTCCGCTCACTTACACCAATTTACTACTATAGCTCCATTGACTTCACTGAAGTTACTCCTGATTTACACCAGTGTAAGTGAGAGGAGAATCAGGCCCTACAAAAAATAATGATGAAAAAAAACCAGTGCTTTAAAGTTTCATTCTTTGGTTTTCTGTTTCAAGTTATAAAAATGACTCTATAGTCCTTGAGTTCCAAATTAAACATCCTCAACATGACAGGAAAATGAGTCACATAGATCAATATTATTGGCCACATTCTCTAGTGTAATCAAGTGGAATTTGGAACAGGACCATGCAGAGGTGGCGTCGTTCCCAGCATAAATTAGAGCAGCACAAAGACATCAGTAACTTAAATTTACACCTGTATGCCCAGAGCCCCAAGCCATTATAGTAAAGTGGGTGAGGTTCTGTGGCCTCTAATGTGGAGGAGGTCCAACTACCCTGTTTCCCCGAAAATAAGACAGTGTCTTATATTAATTTTTGCTCCCAAAGATGCGCTAGGTCTTATTTTCAGGGGATGTCTTATTTTTCAGAAATGAAAAATGCCTTATTATCGGTGGATGCCTTATTATCGGGGAGGTCTTATTATCGGGGGGATGCCTTATATTACAACAAGAGGCAAAACTGTAAGTAGGCCTTATTTTCGGAGGATGTCTTATTTTCGGGGAAACAGGGTAGATGATCATGATGGTCCCATCTGGCCTTTAATGTCCATGAGTCTGAGTCAGAGATCACTGGAGCTCAGAGGCATCCCAGCCATGCCTCCTTTCTTCTGGGAACACCTCTTCTGACAAAGGGTGGTGAGGATGGTCACAGAGCCACAGTGCTGGCACTGTTCTATCTAGGGATTCCCTTTACACAAGGAGAACCCTCAGTTTCTGGTTAAGTTATTTGTCCAGCTCCTTTCTGCTGACTGAGTAATGCAAACCAGCCAGTACAGGAGGCAGAATCTTCCTCTTATGTCACGATGGACTTTCAGTTCAATACCTTTTCTATAGTAGTGACAAACCTTATATACAGTAATGTAACACAACCGACACAATGTGTATTGGGGCCTGATCTTGCAAAACACTGAGCACCATTTGAAAGGTGCATGCTAATTGAGGGCTCTCAACACTTTTCAGGATGGTATTCATTTCTTTATTATTTGTAATGTGCTCATACCCTCAGGTCTCAGTCTGATCAGGACCCCATTGTGCTGGTGTTGTACAAGCACATGTAGGGGACAGTCTTTGTGCCAAAGAGTCTATAATCAAATTGACCTCTTCTTATCACTGTTATTTTCATTGGAAACTGAAGACTTATAGTTGGTGTAGACTCAGCGTTTCTCAGCATTTTCAGGTTGGTGACCCCTTATTCAAAGTCAAAACATTTTCACAGCTCCCTTACATTTACTATAAAGTAAATGTGTATCATTGATAACAATAAGCTCATATAATTATGTGTGTGTATTTCAAAAGGTTGACAGAAAACAGCTGAAGTGTAAGGGGCTGCAGGAATTTTGGGGCATGAGATTTTCTTTGCTTTAGATTAGAATAAAATTTTCAACATGTGGTGATCTCCCATGGAGGTTCTGACCCACTGGATGAGAAACATTGATGCAGACCAAAGTGCCACGCGTTACTATATTGCACATTAGTACCGAGTATCAAAATTGCCTTTTTACTTTAAATGAGAAAGCAGGGACAACTTTGATTCTGTGGTCACACTAATTAAAATAGGAGTTCACAGGGTCTGAATCTGCACCCATGGACTTCAGTACAAGAAGGTATTTGAAAGGTCAGTGATTTCATTATGTTTCTAATAGTGACATCAGACAGGAAGTTGTGTTTTAAAAACAGCCCAACCTTCAGATGTACAAAATTGGGTTGGAAATTTTTCAAGGGTAAGGCTCTCATAGGCAGTTTCTAGTTTGTCTGGAAATATCATGAAAAATGCCCATCTCATGTATTTAGGCATCTCTGTTTTAGGCCTTAGTGAGGACCTGCAGGATCCTCAAAAATTATGTGGGTTCAATTCAAGGGATGAGCAGGAGAATAGGCTGGCCTCTCTTCCGAGACTAGGGGGAGGGGGCAGGAAGATGCCAGTAAGTGCCAGCTGTTGTGAGGTTTTGCTGTGATGTGGCCACTTGTCCACTTGGAAGTGAATCAAAAGAAAACACATGTCACCAAAACCACCAGACAGGTTGGTTTTATTTTATCTGAGTTGGTTCTTTTCACCACAAAACCTATTTCCTATTGGTGCTTTTTGGAAACATCACCTAGTGGTTAGGAGGTCACTTCCTTCTTAATACGGGGAACCCGGGGATCACTTCCTTCTTAATAGGGGAACCTGGGTCCTGTGATAGTTACCAAGGTCTGGCACCCAAGAGCACCTTAAGGCTACCCTCCCTGGGCCACTTCCTACCCCTTTCTCTATAATCCAAGCTTTGCAGTCTGTAGCAAAAGGTAATGAAAAAAATACACTAACTATACCTTTAGCCTGTCTGAGGCCAACAGTAGGCTCCTCTTTCCCAGAGCTGTCTGGATTCCTTTTAAGCTCTACCTCCATCTGGAACATGCTCTGCAGCTGCAGCTGGGCAAGGTCAGCTGGGCCCCGAGTTGCTCTTTAACCCCTTCAGACCAAGTGCTGGGTTTATACACCCCATAACATCTTCTATTAAAAAAGCCCTGTGATGCTAATTTAAAGTAAAAAGTAAGGGGGTGGTAGATGTACCCATTTTAGCAAACAGTCCTTTATGTGTGAATGTGTAACATGTGGTAAGATGCACATGTTGTACAATAAATGTAGAGTACTGGCTTTACATCCAGCACACGTGTTTAATAGAGCCCTTGATTCAGCAAAGCACAGACAAACATTCTTTACATTAAGCATGTTCCATTAAAATCATGGGGTGAAATCCTGGGCCCATGGATGTCAGTGGGAATTTCCCCCCACTGATTATAGTGGAGCCAAAATTTTACCCACAAAGTCAATGTGACTTGAATACATGCTTAATGTTAAACATGTGCTTAACTGCTTTACTAATGAGGTCTAGAGAGCATCTTATAATTAGGATTAGGACCTTATAAATAGGAGATGTTTACTTTTTTTTCTAAATTAAAATTGATTTTTTGTTTTGCAAAAGGTTAAACCTCCAATTGTTTTAGAAGCGATCAACTGTTTTGATCATTTAAATCAGATCTGATGGTACAGACACCTGTGCCCATGAAACTCGGCACAGGAACAGAGGTCTGTGCTAGCAGATCTCATTGCAGGATGGGAGCCTAAATGGGGCAAGATAGATATAGATAAAAAGGCACTTTTTAAAAAAAGCTTTATACATTCTTTCCTCCCATGGTTTTTAGAAGCAATGAACCATTTCATTAACAATTCAATGTTTGTTGTTTTAAATCTCCATTTTATATGCAGCAGGATAACTTATTGTGATGTAGAACTTTTTAATGCATGAGGCCACAAAATCAGTCGTCTTCTTGTGTGCTGGTAGCTTTTGGCCTCATTCATTAGTTGACACCTGAGTTGTGTATATTTCTTACAATAGATCAACACACCTGGGTTCTGATTCTATATTCTTTGCATATCGCAAACTATTGATGACACCAAGGGTAATAAGCATGGTAAAAAGAAAACAGAACGAAAAATATTATTGAGAAGAAACATGGTATAAATAGTAACATAGTCTTTTACCTCTGTGGTTTAACTCCAGTTTACTTGCTGCCTTCATGTTTGGCCAAGATCTAAATAAGTAAAAGAGAACAAATGCATTCACCAAAATATTAGCAAGTTTATCAAAACCTCATTGAAGGATTAGCATAACAGAATGAGGGGACTGCTAATCATTTAAGTGAGAAAACATTTTTGGTAACTGTAGGAAATTTGATGATTTTGGGGCCTCTTTGTCTTGGTTCTATTGCCAGAAATATGTTGCAGTTACATAGGACCCCATCTTTCCTATGCAAGAATCTAAAAGCATTTTACAAATACGAATTAATTAAGCCTTGTAGGTAAATAGTATAAGTCCTGTATTAGTGATTCAGTAGATGGTACCCTGCCTTCTGAATCTGTACTGATCCAGTGACTTAGCATGCGCCCCAATGAACCACCAAGATGTGAGCACAGAGGATCCATATGCACGGATCTCTCCCTTCACTGTTGGAATGATGGCTCTGTCTGTCACCCTCATCCCTCCTCACCCTTTGTACCTCAGATCTATTTACCTGTCCCAGTACTTATATGGATCCATCATTGTGGTATTTGAGCACCTACCAACTATTAAAAAACAGGAAAATAACTATGTTTTTGAATATAGATGTAGCCAGGATTAGGAATAAATTTACACACAGCCCATCACCCTAATATCTGAGCAGCTACTCTAGGAAACGCTCAGGGTTAGCAAAATATCAGCTCTAAATCTTTGGGCTCCAAACTCCCCCCCTGTACTTAGAGCTGTCCTATATCTTCTGCTCTTTTTTGTCTTATCTCTTGTAGCAGCTACCGAACAAAAAATGAAGCTGAGTGGTTTCCTGTTTAGTGAGCTCTCTTCAAACCACACTGGATTCATCTGACCTTTAGCTGGCCAGCGTTTGAAGCAGCTGTACATCAATAATACATTTTATAGTATTTAAATAGTATAAATAGTACATTTATCAGTGCTTTAAAAATAAAAAAATTACTTACCTATTCATTGGCAAAGTTAGTTTCCTGTTTTTCAGATCTATTGGTTGTTCTACTATAGTTTTCCTGTTGACTCTGGTTCAGTAGAAAATAACTTAATTAGAAAATAGTAATAAGTTGGAAACAAGCTTTCATGGGAGCAAAATGAGGCCCAGGTAGCTTAGAGGTTTTTCAAATCTGGGAAACTATATATATAGCTGAATGACATTTCTCCCCCCCATGTCTTTTCCCCCTTATCCCTAATGGGAGGATTTGGCTTTGCCGGTTCTTGTTTTTAACAATTTAGAACCAAATTGTTCCTGATGCAAAAAGGAAGGGGGAGGAAAAACCCATGGGTGACAGGAAACTTTGAATTCCAACTCCCAGTGACATTATTCCATTAGAGTGGGGATGCATTAACTTTTTGTGGAAAGGAAAGGGAATTAAGCTACCAAAACCTATGGCTGTCCAGCCACAAACTCCATGCCAGAAGCTGTGACTGGAAAACAGGGGATGGATCACTCAAAATTGCCCAGTTCTGTTCATTCCCCCTGAAGCAGCTGGCACTGGCCACTATCAGAACTCAGCACATGGGGCTAGATGGACCTTTGGTTTGCCCTGGTATGGCTGTTCTTATGGACAGTGGGACACTTGCTGAACAGTAGGGCATACATAAAGCTCCTGCCCCAATTGCTGCCTTCATGGCAACATAGCTCTGCTTCCGTGCCATGCCCTGTCCACTTGCAGTTGCTTCTGAGACCCCTTTGGAGTGGGGTTTCTTCTAGAAGGCAGAGAAACCCCGGTAAAATAATACTGATATATGACTTAATCCTGTAAACTCCTGCAAGCTTAATTTCTAAAGACTACTCCCATGCTTAAAGTTAATCATGCACTTACGTATTTGCAGGAAAAGGGTCTTACAACTAGCTTACTGCATAATCCCCATAGATTTCAAGGGTGACAATTCCCTGGTGAGCAGTTTTCCCTAGCTCAATTTCTGGCTTGCTCACTCCAGATCCACAGAGCCCAACAATGCAGCTTTCTTATGCAGGGTTTTGCTGTGGTCTCTGATTCGTGCAACAGAGGCACTGCTCCCTCCTTCTGCATGATGGGGAGTTTTCCATGCCATTTAGCATCCATTCTGCTTTGTTACAGAAGGGAGTATGTGGCTTTTAAGTTAATGGTAGCATTTTCTAGTCTTTGCAATCAATGATATTCATTCTCTAGCTAGAGCATGTTCGGAAATCTTAATTCCATATCTGTGACCGTGCCCTTCATTGACACAAAGTACCATGATGCCCATTTCAATTCATAATTCAAGTCACATTATTTATGGCCATCAAAGATATTAAGGAGGAGGAAATGTAGGGTAGCATTAATTTTAAGTGTCCATTGACTAATGTTTAATTGCTGGCAAAATGCAGTGAAACACCTACAGAAATACATTTGACATTTACACTAATGCCAGCTGAATTCAGCATGATGGATTCTATTATAATAGATTATGATTAATTCATGATGAAATGGATATATAAAAGTTTCTGTTCCAAAATCTGAAATTTGCCAAGAATCATGACACTAAGGGCCATATTCTGGTACACTTACTCAAATTCAGGGGTATCTTACTTCACACAGTTCCATTGACTTCAATGGCACTACATCGGTGTAAAGTGCAACTTACCCTGAGTGAGGATATCAGAATATGGCTCTAAGCAATAACAGGATCAATGCACAGCCTAAAAAGAGTTAGAGATTCATATTCATTTCTCCTAGCTCTTCACTCTCCATAAATTTGTCCCACGTGTGAACAGTGACACACAGAAAAACTGGTAGTATCCCATTCAATATTTTCACATCCAACTGCAGCACTTTAAATGAGTCCAATACTGGCTATTTGCTTTTTTCATTAGATTGCTAATTTCCACTGATAATGCAACAGTTATTCCTGTGAGTAATCTTTAGTCACAAGAAATTGTACATTTCACAGTCTGGCCCAAAAGGTTCACAGGCACTTTCAGGTTGGTTGAACATTATTAGTATTATTTATAGTGCAGCAGCAACTAGGGGCCCCAATCATAGACCAGGGCCCCAATGTGCTAGGCATAAGTACATAAGAAAAGCCATTCTTGTCCAAGGAGCTAACAATCTAAATAAAGGACAAGAGAAAACAGACAGATACACCTAACAGATAGGATGAGCACAATGACAAAAAAGTAGGTCAGCAGGAAAGAAGTGGACCATGGAATACATTTAGGCTGTGGGAACCTGTGCATTATGTAGTTACACTCCCAAAAAATCAATGGGACTAATCATGGGATGAGAATTACTCATGTGAATAATGCCTGCAGGATCAGGTTCCTTGACAGAAACAGTGTCTCAAAAGAAACACTAGGCCATTATTTCTGCAGGGAAAATGTCTGTTTTAAACTTTACAGCTGAACAATAGTGCTCGATGTGACCAAAGGATCCTGTTTCATATCTCAGTGCCGCTTATCCTACTCCATAACTCAAAATTATGTTCAGTATAAGTGTTTACCAGGGCAATTGTTAATTAATTTCACTATTAAGGCACTAGTAAAATAACTAGCTTAGATCCTGCACTGTGGTTAAAAATGTTACACATGGTGTGCGCGGAAGTGTGATTAAAACTTTAGCGGCTTAGAAATCAGAAGGTAATTTTGTTATATTGTGGTTTAGCGAGCATTGTGTTGCTCATTTCCTTTTCTGATAAAATCTTTTTTCTCAAACACTGTAGCTTAGTACTAGCATTCTGGTCAGCAAAGGCATCGGTCACAGGCATTATGACTCTGATGAAGCAAAACTGAAATCAGTGGAGTTTAAGTAAATGGGACATACTTAAAGTTAATCATAGGTAAAATTCTCAGATGCACCGAAGTCTCTCTTTCAAAAATGAGGTGGTATGATGGCTACCATCTTGGCTAACCCACTAAAAATTGAATCAGGGACCTTCAGAGCTAAAAGCACTGGATGCTACAGCTTGAGTTAAAGAGCCAAGACTCTGTAGCTCGAGGCTCATATCTCATAACAACTCATATTTTCTCTAATACACACTCACTGATGGGCCACATAGGCCTTTAGGTCCACATCCTCAAATGTATTCAGGTGTCTACCTAAATGGGAATTAGGGATCTTAATACTTCTGAGGATATGGGCATGGAGAACCTAACTGCTAACTATCTCTTTTTTTAAAAAAAATGAGACTTAGGTTCCTAAGTCACTTAGGTGCTTTTGAAAAGTTTTATTCCACGCGCTTAAATGTTTTGCTGAATTGGAGCCTATATTATTTTTAGTCCAAAAAGCCCCTTTCCCACTGTACATCAGTAATAGGATGCTCAGTGGGAAAAAATATACAGAAGACAACATTTTATTCAGTGTTGTGAGTAGTAGATAACATTGAATAAAACTGATGCTCAGGTAAACAAATAAAATACAATTAGAATACCGAGGCCATCCAACTGCCAGTGGTTCCACCTGGGCAGACTCCAGCATCCATACAGAGCCGTGTTTTGTTTTTAACTTAGGTGAATGTTGGTATCAAGACTGATAATTTGTTAATATTTATTTCCTTTTTTAAATGTCTTTTTAAAAAATCCCCAAAAAACTAAATAAACATTTGGAACAGCTTCTCTTATTAACACCTACTGAGCAGAATTATGTAACTGATCATTGGCAAAAATTTTAAAATGGTGATCAATATATATTTGCTTATTTAAATTGTTAGTACACTACAATTAAACTGTGTTGGGGTACGTCTACAGCGCAAAAAAAAAAATGCAGCTCCGCTCACCCCAACTCACGCTACAGAACTAAAAATAGCAACATAGACATTTGGGCTTCAGTTGTAACCTGGATTCCAAGACTGTCCCCCCTCACTGTTGTTTCAGAGACCAGGCTGCAGATCGAGCCCAAATGTCTATGTTGCTATTTTTAGTTCTGTAGCGTGAGTTGGGGTGA